TCCTTTGGGGGGGGGGGGGGGAGATAGAGAGAGAGAGAAATAAGAGGCAGAAAGGAGTTGAGAGTAGGAGAGTGAGCGAGGCAGAGCGTAAAGAGTACAAGAGAGAGAGGAAGCGGAGCGGAAAGAAAGAGAGAAAAGGAAACGACCGACTTTTCAGTATAGAGAGAAAGAGAGTTACAGTACAGAGCAAAAGCAGAGAGCAACTTTTGATATATTACGAATAGCAGAACGACTCTTCGACGATTTCAAATTATACTTTTTCAGTGCACACGAGTGTTTGTATACTAAATAACTTGTATACTAAATATTTTCTATGTTCATCTTCAACGAGTTCGATTTTATTTCCGGCAAGAGTCCTAATAATTCTTACAGTAATTTTTATATTCAGAGATAGAATTAGATATCGATTACACCTAGCGAATAATGATAATGTTCAGCACATTCTTTAAACTTTAAAATACTTTAATTTTTAGAACATATGCTTCTGAATAACGATATTTATATCGTTATTCAGAAGTACTAAAGAGTAGTACATGATTTAAAATTTAAAGCATACGATGCCAGATACCATCAACAGTGGCCAGTTTTCTTCGATATTTAATCTTGAACAGAACGGATGAGCAAATGTATAGTATAACTATTATTCTCAAGGACTATCTGTATGTAAAGAAGGAAATCTTCACTTGACACTGCAACTTAAAAGTAAACTGACCAAATAATAAAAATTTACAGTTTAATAACTTCTACAAGGTTTTGACGTGCTTTGTTGTGTACACGACGCTCGCAAAGACTAAGAGATCGTTATGATATTTTTCGTATACAACAGCGTATATAAATTTCATCAGTCAGATGGCCTGCGGTCAGCACAATTTGAGCATAGGCTTTTAGTAACAGAAACAGTTTATAATATTCTAACGAAACAACTTACGAAAGATAGTAGGCCGATGCTAGAAATTATTTTCGTATTCTATACGATATTTAGAACCTACGTCTATTACTTCTCTTTGTCGCGCGGTGGGCCATGTAACTGACGGTCGCGGCTCTCGGTCTCAAGACCGTTGACATTATGAGGTGCACATCCATGAGATGCTTACCAACAATGTGTTCGGGATATATTGATCAGCATTAACGCGTTATTCAATCCTTCTTGTACATCTAATGAGCGATAAAGATAAAATAATATGTTAGCTTTAACAGCGCGCTCCTCGAACGCGCTTCAATGGCTGAAAAAATTTATCGAATTTTATACATCTCGATATATAACATACATTATATAAATATATGCAAATAGACATGTAATGTAAAGTTTATACAGGGTGTTGCATTTACATACAGGTCAGTACGACAGGTTGCCTCGTCGGCAGGCGCGCTTTCTTTCCTATGAATTTTACTGCGTTCAATTGCGCGCCAAGGTCTACTACACACGGTACGCGCGCCTGTCGACGAGACAACCTATCGTGCTGATCTTCTCAACTTCGCACTTAAACTACCATCTAGGTTAGTTTAAATATTTATTTATAAATATTATTACAAGTTTTTAATACTTGAATGTCTTGAACATTGAAATATTTAAGAAATAATATGCCTCCGGTATAATAATAAAAATATATGCAGCTCACTTTTGTCCTTCCATTTAAATTATTAATTTCCGAATAAGATTTGGACTTTTTTACTTAAAGAATAGTCATTACAGTCACTATGATAGTTACTGTCGTCAATAACACAATAATATAATGTCTTAACAACATCTAAAAAACGTTTTAAAATTTTTCAGACATTTTAAAAAGTTGTCAGAAAAACACTTTTATAACATTTTTAAGTTTTATTCCGATTTATAGACTTCTTAATTATTAAATGCATCTATTTTTATTTTTAAACTAAAAAAATTACAATACTTGATAGTTAGAAACTAACAAGAGGAGGAAAAATGTTTTAAAAAAATTCTGATAAAAGTTAAAAATAAAAAATTATTGATATTAATTGTTTGCCATTAATGCATAAATTTTTATTTTGAACTTGTTTCGAACGGCCTGAGGTTGGAGAGCGGCTGGTTCGGAATGAATATGGAAAAATTATACAACCCTTTAAAATTAATTGCTTTTTATGTGTTCCGGACGGCCGTAGAATGTCCATGCGGAACGAGTACGGCGGGCGGCCGAGCCCCAGGAGCCGCTCAACTCGCGGTCGCCGGCCTACCGCCGCCGGTGCGCGCCGTCGCCGCGACGCGGCGAGCGCGTCGGCCGGAGCCGCTTCTCGCTGTTAAGTTCCGCTTAGGTGCCTATATAAGACGCCACGCGAGACCACTCAGGGCTTTTATGCCTTTTGCCTGTTGCTAGCTTTGACTGCACATCAGGTATTCTTTTACGCTCTAGCTAGCTTCCAATCGCCTTTTTGAGTGCGTAAGCACCGTTGGGCACTTGCCTCACCAGAGGTATATTTGCATATCTGCATCGATCTTCACTGCCTTAAGAGTGTCGTAGACACGTTGGCATTTGCGTTTAGATTTCGGCAATTCTACACAACTCTCCGCAGCTCTTTAGAGTACGTTTGCACGTTGGGCTAACTCTAGAGTGTCCGAGGACACACTGGCATCTGCGGTACGAAGTGTATGGTAACTCCACGGATCTCCACCTTCTCAATACGATCGAGAATTGAGAGAAGGCTTCGCGCAATCACGTCGGATTACCTGGACGCCTCCACCGCGGTGGACGTCTCGCTTCGCGACATTTCCCGTATTGAATACCGGGTATTAGCGCCAACAGAACTTAGTACGATTGAGCTCACGACTCCGCGCGAGTCGTTGTAATCAAGAACTCTGCGGCCAGGGTTATGATGAAAATGTGGACTTGATCTTAAGTGACCTTGTCAAAATCAGGTCATTAATGTTTTTTTAAACGGAAATTCTTATTTTTATTACATATTCTTGTA